GGTAGCCTGGGGATTCTTTGTTATAATAGCAATTGGGGCCCCTTTCTTTACTCTGCCTTTCAGTGGCTCTCTGGGTCCCTTAGTACTCACAAACAGAAAATGATTTATACATACACATATAGGTTGTTCTAGAAATAAAGTTGTATCTTTTTCCTTTTGGGGGACAGCAGGAAAGAATTAGGGATAGAGTCAGGATCCCCACTGAGCCTCAGGGTCAACAAACAATGTAGCTGCTCACCACCAATCCCAGCATGTCCAGCCTCGTGATGTCACACTGAGCACTTCTCACTGGGGAGAGCATGGCATGAAACTTATGGGCACTGGACCAGACTGCCTGGGTTCACATGTGAACCCAGATCTACAAGATACCAGCTCTGAGATCAGGGCAAGTTACTCAGCATCTCCACGACTCAGTTCACCCCTTTGTATGATTGGGATAATATTAATGCCAACCTCTAAGCGTATTGTGCAAATTAAATGAATTAGTACTTGTAAACACTTAGAACCTCACCTAGCAAATAGTAAGTGCTAGAATAAAGGCATCAAGTAGTAGTATTTATAACGATATGCAGTACACAAATTCTTCCAATATCCAGTGAATTTGTGAAGCATGAATATGGGAATCAACTGAATTGTAAACTGAAAAGAAAGACTGGATCTAACTAAGCATGGGTGGTTTAAGACCACGGGGGATATGTGCATGCTAGACGGTCATTTGCAAGAGATCAGGGAGCATTTCTAATCCTTAGTGGAGTGCAGGGCATCATGGATTGTGTGGTGAAAAATCAAAAACAAAAACAAAACCAATCAACAAAAAACCTCTCTTGGTCCTTACTCTCTCTGTTGGCTGAGAACCGTTAATTTATGTTTGTGTCACTTGGGACTCTTTAGGTTGCAAGTGGCAAAAATCCCAACTTGAAATGACATAAGCAAATAATGACAACAACAAAAGGCTTTATTGCATGGAATTGACAATCTGAGGGATAGTGCCAACCTAAGTGAAACCTTAATTTCAGGGCCACATGGGCTCACCAAAACTATTTCTCTCTATCTCTTTCTACCTCTCCGGTCCACTTGGACTCTCTGTATTGTTTCGTTTCCATTGTATCTTTTCCTTGTGGTGAGATGGTAACGGCACATCTGGCCCCATTCCACTCCATCCTCCTAGGTTCAAGTCCAGTAAGAAAAAAACATACTTAAGTCTTGCCAAAAGTATTCTTGCACTTCATCAACTCTGACCAGGTCCCACGACCATCCTGAACTAATTGTGCTTCCAAGTGGAGGAAATGCTTTGGTTGGATTGGCTGGAGTCACACACTGAGGGTAGAAGGATGGGGTCAACACTATCTGAATTACATGAACCAGAAGTCGGGAGGGGATGGTTCCCCATGGGAGATTTGGGGGTTCATTTTACTAGCTGTGCATCCTGCTATTCTACGTTCTACTCTGTTCTGCTCACCGGCTTTCTTCCAAACCCTGCTATTTTCTCTCGGAAACAGGAGAGAACAGATTCAGAGAAGAATATGCCCAGAATCGGAAGTACTTGTTATGTGTGTAAAGGGTGGTGAGGGGGGTGTGGCCAGGGAGAAGGTACCAGATGCTATAATGAAGTCTAGCCTGGCAGACCGACTGTGGTATCTAGAGACGGAGGTAACAAATGAGTCAGGTCAGCAATTATCCCTTGGAGGTTAACAAGAACGTTATGGGTTTCATAGTAGGAACATGGGAGAATAAAACCCAGAAGTGGAAGAAATTTCTGTTATGCAGAAGTGAAGAACACTAAGATTGTAGAACACTTTCCCTCCCCTACCATTTACCAGCACACCAACAAGTCTCCAGTATAATAAGGGTGAATTACAGCCGAAAGCTCTGAGATGCATCAGACTCTATCTTAGGAGGAAGCCCAAAGACAACAAGAAGATAAAAGCAAGGACACTGGAAGAATTTGAGGCCTCTGACACCCACGGTTTCAGCAAACATTAAACAGAGCCCCTTGTAGACATACAAACATGAAATCTCACACTAGACGCTGATTTACCTCAGGTCCTCTCATCCCATACATCCTCTGGCTTTCAAAAAAAAAAAAAATTATAAGGCAAGTTAAACAGCCAAGGACAAAACATGTCTCACTAGACAAAGCAAGCATCAGAACCAGACTCAGATACGACACAGGCTTTGGAATGATTAGACAGGGAACTTAAAATAACTATGATTAATGTGCTAATGGAGCTAATGGTAAAAGTAGACAACATGTGAGAGTAGATGGGTGAGTTAAGCAGGGAGATGGAAACTCTTAGAATCAAAAGGAAATTCTAGGAGTTTCGAAAAACCAAACATTGTGATAGAAATGAAGAATGAGGGGCACTTGGGTGGCTCAGTGGGTTAAGCGTCTGCCTTCGGCTCAGGTCATGATCCCAGGGTCCTGGGATCGAGCCCAGCATCACAATAGTTACAATCCGTAGATTTTGAATAAAGGAGAAAACCCTCCAGAATGTGAGTGAGCCTTGTCTAATCAGTGGAAGGCCTTCAGCGCAAAGACTGAGGTTTGCAGAAGCAGCATACTTCTCCCTCTGCCCACCACTCCCCCTGCTTATGTTAGTGCTCTCTCGCTTGCTCGCTCTCTCTCTGACAAATAAATAAGTAAAATCTTAAAAAAAAAAAAAAAAGAAATGAAGATTGACTTTGATGGGCTCATCGGCAGACTGGACATGCCCCCCAAAAGAATCAGTGAGCTTGAAGATAGGTCAATAGAAACTTCCCAAACTAAAGTGCAAAATAAGTCATCAGTCAGTTGAGAACTTCTAAGTTTTACCCAGCTTTGTCTGCATGAAGTATTGCTATTCATCACACAGACGACAAGGCCCTCTGATAACACGTGACCACCTTTGCAGGATGGCTAACCTTGCAGAAGTTTAGGCCACTGCTTGAGCTCGGCTCCGCCACCCCCAGTAGCACACACACCCCCTCTCACCTGCACATTCTGGGCAATGACTCTCCCAGTGTTTTGGATGATCTATGCCTCAATTAATAATAGAGGGCTAGACGGCATTTAGGGGACAAGGCCAGCAGCAGGCGGAGCATTGAGAAGGTCTGACTGACATCATGCTGTGTTCCACAGACAGATTCCAGTCAAGAAATGGCAAGTGGGTACGTGAAGAACTGATAGAGGAACAGATTGTGAAGGCAGGGACAAGATGCCCAATTACATGCAAGGTGAGGGCATAATCTCCGAGAAAAGGAGACTCCACATCGTCTGAAATGGGGCACAAACACCAGGTCAGTCAAGCAACAGTGGTGACTTCCAGTTGAGTCCCTCCCACCGTAATATCCTGGAGTGCCTCAGAAGCTTCATTCCTGACTCAAGGCCTTGGCAGAGCCCAAAGGTCAGAGTGGACCTGAGTTTATAGGTGGGCCTAAGTGCTACTGTCAATAGAAGGAGGATTCAGAAGCCAGGCAAGGCCTACCACCTGCTCATGCCCTGCTGTGGCTGAGCTCCAGGCACTGACTCACATTCTGCCCTGCCTTATGACCCACTTTCTTCATCCACGTAGAGACTCCCAAGCTTGGCTCAAACCAATGGATGTGACAGAACCTCCACTTTTGATCTTCCTGGGTTTTCCCATCCTTGCACACTCCCCACTGTCCCCTCCCACCATAAGTGCCTGTGATGGTTACTTTAATGTGACAACCTGGCCAGGCTGTGGTGCCCAGGTGTTTGCTCAGACAGTAGTTTAGTTATTGCTATGAAGACATTTTTTTAGATGTGATTAATAGTTACAATCCATAGATTTTGAATAAAGGAGAAAACCCTCCAGAATGTGAGTGAGCCTTGTCTAATCAGTGGAAGGCCTTCAGCGCAAAGACTGAGGTTTGCAGAGCAGCAATTCTGCCTTGAGACTGCAACATAAAAACCCTACCTGAATTTCCCACCTGCCAAACTGCCCTACAGATTTTAGACTTGCCAACCCCCACAATTGCCAACTCCCTAATCTCTCTCTGAGACAGATGATAGACAGATTTGATAGATATACACACATCTTCTTGGTCCTGTTTTTCTGGAGAACTCGAACTGATACAGTGTCTACAGAGACAGGAAAGAGTTCATCTTTTTGCAGTAAATGTAAACCCACAGTTTTGGTCCAAAGGGAATTTTTTCAGTGAAAAACAAACATGCTGTCCATTTCTCTGACAATGGCATTAACAAAAATATATAACCTTTATTCACCTTTGCTGCTTTTCATTCTCTGCTTCACAGAGGTGCAACAGGATGTGGTCTCCTCGCATGTTGACATCAAAATTAATTCTTATTTTTAAGGAAGTCATTCTAACCCTAGCCAACCATTTTTAACTGCAGACACACAAGGGCTCCTACATCTCCAATGGCTTGGAGAGGTACTTGTGGAAACGGCGGACTGCCTGTGACCACCAGGAAACCAGCACCAATCCCAAACCGCCTCATCGACCCTTGCTCACCAGCCTGTAGAGCCAACCTGATGAAGCTGAAACTTCCATTTTTGACTCTGCTTTTTGTTTTGTTTCGTTTTTTGAAAAATAAGGAAAAATACAGGATACTACCATCTGAGAGTCTCAGGAACATGTTGGCAATAATAATAAAATAATAAAAATAATAAAAGTGCCTTCTCTCAAATTACCTCTCTGGAGGGGGCTGAAAGAAAGACAGCCCTCTGCGTGCACTCTCCTATTACATCTCAGGCTCCATGTTAACTGACGTCAGCGGTGGATGGCTTTCATAGTGCAGCGTGAGGCAGCATTTTATTTTACCTTATAACGGTTTCCTTGACTGGAAAATGGGAATGTTTTTGTGGTTGTTATTGTTGTTGTTTTAAAGTAAACTGCCCTGCTAATTTAAGAACTTCTCTATGGGGTGGCCCCTACATAGCAGATACCCAACATCACACATTGAAGACTAAGGCAAGCTACCCAGCAACAATAGAACATAAGTGTGCCTGAAACAAATTTATAACACTGTATCTTTTAGCAGATAGACTCATAACTTTATTTTGACAAATGTAAGATAGAAAAATATCATAGAGTGAATATTGCAGTTACTGTTTTTGTAACAGGGTTTGGGATGTGCAGGGTGACTCGAAAGAGCAAGCTTAACTGGATGGACTCACTTCTGTTTGGGCTTCAGTTAATACCGAATTATTGTTCAGCCTTTGCATTTGCTTGAAAGAATATTGGACACAGTAAAACTGGCTTTTCAAAAGGTTATGGCATTCAATAATAAATATTATGAGGCAATGAACCCAAACAACCTTTAAAATAGTTTTATAATTACTAAAAGCCAACTTTAAACTTCAGGCTTAAAGCTAAGAACTCATATATTCAAAATAGCTTTAACATTTTCTACCAATATATAATAGAATAATAGAGTACTTATTTTTTTTAAAAAGTGAAGAAAGATTAGAGTAAACATGATATTTCAGATGACTATAAACGGTAAACATCAATTCAGGATATATATATGTATATATATTATTTCAATAGTATACTCTCGCTCAGTTGGCTAAAACCTGTAGTTCTAGCTATCACTGAAGACGTGTCTGGGTATGTCCTCTTTGAGCTCATTCAGTGTGGGCATCCCGTCTATACTCCATCTTTGGAGGGGGTGGGTTGAGGAACTCTAAGTACATGCAGGTATTTGGTATGGTTATAAAGACACAAAATTCATGTGCCAGGAGTCTGCAGTCACAACCGCTGCGTTCCTTCCTTAAGCTTCACGCTCGTTTGTCTCTGTGATGCCTCAGGTAAACTCACACTAAATAATTCACACAGGTGCTCACGCTGTTGCTGTCAGTCCGTTTCAGCTTCCTTCTTTGCTTCCCTTCCCCACTCCTCAAAGGATAAAATTGTGCGGCCCCTCATTAAAATATGGTATCTCTAACATACAAAATGAGTGTATGTACATATATACATACATGCATTTCCTTTTCAAGGACTGGGTAACTCCTCGTTTTCTATCAAATAATCCTTCTTCATATACTTGGTTCCCCTAACTAACCTCCACACTTCCAGGTAAGCATCCTTCAGTGACCTCTTGCTCACTTCCGCGGGGCCATCTGTGTTCTGCGAACTCCTAGCCACCTGCGGGTCTCCTCTGGGGCTGCCCCTCGCCTCTTGCCCACTCCTCTGAGTGGGGCCACCTGCTGACCCGCCATTTCCGTCCTCCGCGGGTAGCTCCTCCATGACGAACGGCAGCTGATCTCCACTTGGCAGTGCTTCCTCGCCCCCGGGCTGCGTCTCTAGGTCTTCGTAGTTGCTTTGCTTTCTGGTCTCCACGAATTTGGCCACACAGTAAATGATGGAGCCCAGAGTGTTCACCACCACGCCGGCAATGAACAGAGAGGTGGGTTCCACATCGCTGAAGGCCACCATGCCCACTGTGATGGTGGCGATGCTCTTCACCACGCCTACGAAGCTGGTGGTCACCGCCGAGTTGATGTAGGTGCAGTGCAGCGTGGTGAAGTTCATGGCACAGCCGATCAAGATGCAGGCCACGAAGATGCAGACCATGGCCGGGTCCTTCCAGCCAGGGAAGGTCCAGGCGTGGATAGAGTCGGTGCTGGCGAAGGAGCAGACGACCAGCAGTGGGGTGGCGGACACCGCGATGACGTACTGCGCGGTGAGCGGCCCGTGCTCCGTGTCGGCGCTGGCCTTCTGGATGAGCACCAGGTAGGCGGCGTGCACCAGGACGGCCAGCACGCCCGTTACGTACCCGATTGGGTCGCCGGTCAGGTCGCCGGCTCCTGGAGCGCCCCAGGAGAACCGCGGAGCCAGGGCAAGAAGGAAAAAGAGAAGACACCGGGTTGGCGAGGGTGGGTATTCACTGGGGCAACGCGTAGGGTTGGTGAGTAAACAGGGTTCGCGTCCCAGCTCTGGCCAGGGGTATAAAGCTCAAGAGCCAAGTTCAGCCAATGCCCAGTTCGAGGCATAATCGGAGGCGCCTTCCCTGCCATATCCCCGGGGCACCCTGGCTAGTTCTGTCCAAGACCAAGGCCCGGGAGAGCGCAGATGCCCTCGGGGTAGGCACGGAGGTCACCCAGGCGCGTTGTACCCTTGCCCTCTCCGTGGGGCTCCGGAAGGAAGAGGGATCCCCAGCTAGTGTCCTCTACCCCGGGCGGGCTGGTCGCCGAGCGAACGCCTCTCTCTCCCGACCCGTTTCCCGTTCCCGCCGGCTCCGGTCGGGCTTAGTCCTTCAAGCTTGGCCCTCACGTGGGGCTCAATCCGGCCCCCTCTGCCTCTCTCCCTCAGCACCTCGCGCGGCGCCAGAGACCCCAAACTAGCCTCCGCGGCTCAAGCTTGGTTTCCATTGTCCCCCGACCCCCACCACTCCAGCCCCGCGTGACCCAGGGAAGTTCAGCGCCCCCCTCCTTCCGACTCAGCCTGGGGGCTCCAGTTCCCAGGCTCAGGCGGCTCCCCCACCCCTCCTGGAGGAAGGAAGCGAGGCAGGGCGGAGGAGAGGGGAGGCGGGGGGGGGAAGGGAAGGTGGAGAGGGCGATACCGGTTTAGGCAGGGGCGGGGGTCGGAAGCCGGGACTGGGGGAGGGGTGCGCTCTAAAGGAGGAGGTCGGAGCGCTGGGAAAGGCTCGGCGTGGTCTCAGAAGTCCCGTTTGCGAACCGAGCACCCACATTCAAGCCTCCCTCTGCCTCAGTCTCCCCATCTGGAAGTGAGGGGCTTGCATTAGGTGATCCCCGCAGTCTCTGTCCGGTGGGGTAGGGTGGGCCGGGGGTGGGCGCGGGTCCCGCTCACCTGCCAGGGCGGCGCCGCAGGTGGTGATGAGCACGGCCGCGAGCACCCCGGGCGAGGGCGCGCCGTTCTTGAGCACCAGAACGCCGATGAGCATGGTGACCAGGGGCAGGCAGCGCTTGAAGACCACGTACATGGGCAGGCTGAGGCCGCGCAGGGACCAGAGCGTGAGGCTGGACTGCAGCGTGGAGAGCACTGCGACCCCCGCGAAGGAGCGCGCCAGGCTCAGGCCGAAGGGGGGCACGGCGATGAGCCCCAGGCGCCGCAGCAGCTCCAGGCTCAGCGCCGCGGTGGAGCTGGTCAGGCACTGCACCAGGGTCAGGAAGGAGAACTGGTAGCGGCTGATGAGGAACTTGAGCAGGATGTTGAGGGAGCCAGAGAAGACCCCATGCGCGATAGCCACCGAGATGCCCAGCACGCGGCCCCGGCACAGCTGCCGCATCGCGCCGGCCGCGCCGCACCCGGTGGTGGCGGAGCTCCGGGACCTGCGGAAGGAGAGCGGGGAAGAGAGCCGCGAGCAGCGGAGCGAGGGCGGCGGGGGTGCCCGCCCAACGCCGCGCGGAAGGGCAGGGGGCGCCGGCTCGCTGCAGAGGGCAGCTCCAGCCAGGCGTCCTCGCGGCTCCGCCGCTTCGCGTCCGACTGCCCCGCAGCTCCCGGGAGGCAGTGACGAGGGCGGGGGACTCCGAAAAGTGGCAGGGGTGGGGGGCTGGTCTGAGAGGAGTGGCGGGAAACCTAGCGACAGCGATCTGTAAGTATGTGACGAGCTGCGATGGGTTGTGTCCCGCGCGGTTTCCCAGCCAGGGCGGACGCTCTGCTCCTGGAAGCCCGGGCAGCTGCCGCTAGCGGGACCCGACTCGCACCTCTCGGGCAGCCCAGCGCCCATCCGGGCGGGCTCTCCCGGCGCCGCCCCCTCTCCTCCGGCCAGGCCAGCTACTGCCGCTGGCCTCTTCTCTCCAGCGCGGAGCCCAGGAGCGCGGGTTGCGGGATCCTGGGCACAGCTAAAGATGGTAGAAACAACAGCGCTCCAGGGTCGAGCTTATTAGCCGCAACAAGTGACAGCACCCTCAGCCCCAACCCTTCCCTTCCCTCCCCGAGCTTCAAGCGGCTTTTCTACCCGCCGTCCCTACAGGCGCAGCCGCGGGACCTTGTCCAGCTGCCGGCCAGGAAAGGGGAAAAAGTCGGTGCCAGCCGGCTGCGGGGCTCCCTGATGCTCCCGCGCCGGCACCCCCACATTGAAGAAACCCACGGCCCCAGGACACCGCCCCAGCGTGCTTTAGGGCGCCAAGCCTGGCCTCTTCCCGTGGCCGGCAGCGCGCTCTCCAGTCCGTGCGCCTTCCAGAGAGGGACTTGGGATGACTCGCGTGGCTCTGGGGGAGTTTGTGGGGGGGGGCGCTCCTTGGCCTCGCCGGACTGCGGAGCCTGGGGGCGGAGGCAGGGCACACGTTCCAAGTGGGGCAAAGATGTGAAATAAGCATAAAAGCAGAAGCTAAGTCTCTGGAGGGAGAACCCTCCACCGATCTGGGGCATCACAGGGGCGACGGTGCCCCAGGGGTGGGCGGGGAGCAACTGGCCACGCTGGGAGGTGCGGGCGGGGGGGGTCGTTGGCAGGGGAGGGAGGGCGTAGCGGGGGCAGGAACCCGGGGCCAAGACCGCGCCGAGACTAGGTGTAGCTTTCTCTGGAACCCGGGGAACCGACCGCAGCCTGCCGGGCTGTCGTTGGCGGCTTTGGGGAGCGGGACAACCCCTACCTCTTACCCGGCCGGGGGCCCTGCAGGACTTGAGAACTGTTTACTTTCTATCTGGCTAAGAAAAGTAGGAAATTATTTTCTGCGGGCACAAGGCTTCTGTGACCCTTCGATCTGAATTTCGTTCCCTGGAAAGTAACACCCGGACACGGAAACCCAGCAGCAGCAAAGGGGTTCGCTCGGCCGAGGTAACAGCTAAAAGCCAGACAGTTCAGTTTTCGCGCTACTTTAAAATTACGGACTTGGCCAGGGTTTGGGAGCGAGGAAGAGAGCCTGAAATTGCTGCGCACCACCTCTCCCTTTCCTTCACTTTTCCTAGCCACCCACTGCCATCGGGATCCCAACCTCCGAACCCTTAACTGCTGCACAAACTAGTATACACGAACCGTTTCTTTAGTGATTCTTTTGTTTTCTCCTCCATACTTCCCCCTCTGTGCTGAACGCGGCACTTCCAGCCCGGATATTGAAGCCGCGATTATTTTTACCAGAGCAGAAAAATAATTTCCACAAGGGACTGGCAGCATCACTGCAGTCCTTATTCTGGGCCAGCTTTGCATGTGCTGGGAGCTCACATTGGTGGGAGAGATCTAGGTTTCAACCAGTTCTGCCCAGGGCCTAGTAGGGCCACCTCCCTGCCCCCCTCAGGTGGACACTCAAGAAAATGTTTGCAAATGGCTCAGTGTGTCAACTTTCCAGGAATAACACTGAAAAGCAATTTACTGAAACCCGTGCTTCTGGTTCCCTGGGAAATTCTTTGTTTTTGTTGCTAACGGCTATGGTTACACAATATTGGCCATTTCATGGACTGTTTTTCAAGTGATGTTCTTTCTTTAGGAAATGGGGTCTGAAGCAGCAGGTCACATTATGTATATGTGTGTAGTAGAAGCATATAAACAAAGTATACTCAGATTAAAAAAAAAACCCTTGAAGATTAACTTTTTAAAGAAATCAGCAAATAACAGATCTCTGCTTCTGGGGACCATTCCAATAAAAGCCATCTTAAGTGAACACAATAAAGAACTGTCTGCATAGACCCAGTTTTGGAATGATTCATTTCTGCCAGCAATTATAATTGCTTCCATTTGTGATACTAACATTAGGTAAAAGATTTGGGGCTGATTCAGCTATCTTACCCTTCTCATTTAGGCAAGAAAATTTAGCTTAATACTTGAAACCTGCATTGGTATGAAACAGTTCATTTTCTCTACTTTATTGCATATAATTCTTTTCCATTAGGACTTTCATTTAAAAAAAATTAATACCATCTCCCACACCAATTACTAGATGAACTCCTAAAGAAAAATGGGAAAAACAAGAATACTATGTTTAGCAAGGTTAATTGAAGAAGAATGTAGATCTGAAGGTCAAAAAGCTATTGGACCTACTGATATCAAGCTCCATTATCTTTGGAGCTACTTAATACATATTGATGGCATTAAATAAATCCTTTAGGTCATTCGTTTGGCAAACATATAGAGAGAGCGAGCGAGTATTTGGGGCCAGGCAGTTGGTTAGCCACAGAGAATTCAAAGATGAGCACTCATCTGAGCTCTTCCGGATTCACAGGTGCAGGTGAGACAACACAATGAGGCTTATGCAACAGTGGGGCCCGTGGCAGAAGCGAGAGCAATAAAGAGGACAATAAAATCAGCTTTCTCCAGAGGTATCAGAAAAGACATCCTGGAGAAGGAAATATGGTCTTATTTCATTATTTTTAATTGTAAAAGTAACCCATTCCCATTATAGTATGTACAAGGAAAGCAGACTTTAGAACAATAATTGAACATGCTATCTTCAATATTCCCCACCCCAACCCTAGACCAACCCCACTACACAGAGCTGGCTACTAGTGCAAACCTTTACGGTTTTCTTACGTATCTATTTATACGTACATAATCCCCTTTTAAAAAAAAAATGATAAAACTAGGACATCGACCTATTTGTGTATAATTAACTATTTTAAAAAGTGTATTGTGGGCAGGTTAGCCCCCAAGATCCCTGCTTCCTCGTAGTCACACCTTTGGTCAATCCCTCCTACATTGTACCGGGGCTTGGTCTGTGTGACCAATAAGACACAGAAGTGATGGTGTCACTCGCTGAGATTAGGTTATAAAAGACTGAAGCTTCCATCTTGAACTTTCTTTCTGTCACTCAGCAGGGAGGAAGCCAGATGCTATGTTATGGAGACACTCAGGCAACCTGTGGAGGGGCCCGCATGGTGGGTGCCTGCTAACAACCACGTGAGTGACTTTGGAAGCTGATTCTTGAGCCCCAATGGAGCTTCAGATACCTGCAGCCCCAGGTGACAGCTTACCTGCACTGTCATGCCAAAACCTGAGCCAAAACCACTCAGCCAAGCCACCCTTTGATTCCTGACCTATGGAAACTCTAAAATAAATGTCTGTTGTTTTAAGCTGCTAGGTTTTGGGGCACCTGTTTTACAGAAATAGGTAACTAATACACCGATCAATAGCAAGGTATTTTTTATGTCAGGACACATAGATTCCACCTTATTCTTTCTGATGATTGTTCCATAGTGTAACCTTTCTTCTGTAGACAGGCATCTAGACGTTACCAAACAATGATATAATGAATACCCTTGGACATTTGTTCTTACATACTCTGTATGTATTTGGGGTGGAGACATACAGACAGGGAATTCTAGAACTGGAACTGCTGAGTCAACCGGTAATTTAAAATCTTTACTGCCAAACTGCCTTCCAAACAGGTGTATAACAGTGCTCTCACTTTTTTTTTTAAGATTTATTTATTTCAGAGAGAGCAAAAGAGAGCATGAGCATGTGGGGGGGGGTGTTAGCAGAGTTTTAGAGAAGGGGCAGAGGGAGAGGGAGAGAGAATCTCAAGCAGACTCCCCTCTAAGTGCAGAGCCTGCCCTGGGGATTCACCCCACCACCCTGAGATCATGACCTGAGCCGAAATCAAGAGTTGGACCCTCAACCGAGCCAGCCAGGCACCCCAACAGTGCTCTCACTTTAACTTAATATTATCAGTATTTTAGTGTTTGCCAAAATGCTAAGCCAAAAAAAAAAACCCCAAAACCAAAAAACGGAATCCCATTTTAATTTGCATTTCTTTGTGGTCAATAAAACAAAGTCTGGGCACCTTTTTTGAAGTGTATTAAACATTTGCACTTTTACATCTGTTAATTATCTATTGATATCCTTTGTCCACTTTTATGTTTCGTTGTCTCAGTGATTTTTGAGAGCTCCTTATAAATTATGGCTATTAAACAATTCGTTACATATGTTGCAAATATACCTTCCAATATATCTTAGCTTTGCTAATGGTGTGTTTTGCTCCTTTTTGTATGTTGTCAGTCTTTTTCTTTAGTCATTTCTCATAACTTTCAAATGAGGGGGAAAGAATTTGTCAAACCAACGAATACCTGACACTAATGTAACGTTATTTGTCAAACTATACTTCAATCAAAAAGAAGAATTCACTGAGCCAAGAGCAGGGCAAACCAGGCACGTGGACTACGTTGGACAAAAACAGAAATGAAAACCTGCATTATTTATACAGGGAGTCTGTGAGCACACCCGTGTTTGGAGCACAAAGTGGGTGACCACGTGCCGGGAAGCAATGCTGCAGAGAGAGGCAGGGGCTGGTCCCAAAGGACAGCGGCTGTCTGACTTGTGAGCTGGAACTTTTTCCTGTAGGCAATCCTATACGCAGAGAAAGGTTTTACACTCAAATTGATGTAATCAGATCGCATTTTTAGATCTGTCTCCGGCAGCTGTGTTGGGGAGGATGGCTCCGAGGGCACAAAACTAGAAACAGACCCCTCATTTAGGGAGGGATCGTCTGCTGGGACTGTCCAGAAAAAACTTAACAATGGCTTGAACCAGGGCCGTGGTGGTTGGACTGAA